TCTATGGGCTAAGTATTATGATAGTTGTAAATGCAGAAGAGAAGGATGTAGATTACTTTTATTCCGGCCAACCAAAATTCCCCGATCACGTAGACGAAATCGCGGGTGAAAACTGGTATAGGTACACATAAAGATAACATTAGATATGTATAACAAATGATGTAGATTAAATATATATATATATGTATTTTTTTTAATGGGTGAAAATGGATTGGTTATCCCGTCCGCGCTATCGGTATACACCGACGAGGCACCAGTGGAAGATGATAGGTGATAGAATGAATGCAGGTCAGTTTGCCCACCATGATGAATTCGACAAGAATTAAACATGATGGTTTCCAGGGGGAACCGCGTGGAGGTCGACCTGAGAGGGTATATTGCCAGTAATGGGGCTATTAGACCCCATTACTAACAACCCCTTTCTCCCCTTATATATATGTATTAGTTGGTACTATAAATAAAAAAAAATCAGTGAAACCACTGCTGACTGGTAGGTTACTTAGGCTGGCTACATTGCCCCATATAATAACTTAAAAAAAAAAACTTACATATGATGTCTCTGTCTAGACCATAGAATATATGGCGTGGAAAATAGTTATTATCTAATTAATAGTAATAAAATTGTTACTGTCCCATATACATCATATGGGAGATATTTAAGAAAAATTAATATGAGTAGTCTTAGTACCAATAATATAAGACCAGTAGATGCTAAAAGAAAAATACACAATCAGACAAAAAATTAAATTAACAGATACAGTCACATGTGTTCTCTGCATAAAATGGCAATAGGCTGGTCACATCTCATGCTTTACTGACAGAAGTTGGACGTTTCAAAGTACGAAATGGACAGGACCACGAGGTAAGAGAAATGTTGGTAAACCAATAAGACGGCGGGCTGATGATATAACAAAATATACAGGAAAAGATTTGTTTATGATAGGCATAGAAACAGAGAGTTGTGGAGAAAGATGGAGGAAGCCTTCACCCAAAGAGGGGTCCATACATACATCAATACTGTAAATATATTAGGGATATGGTTATAAATAAAAGGCTTTATTATTATTATATAAATGCCAAAACAATATGACGTCAAAAATTACTGCACGAAATTAGATACTGTTGTATGTTGTATTCGTGTAGATGTAATTTAAAATCTAGCATATCTTGATATGCCATTTAAAAGTGATAAATGTCATTGGATTTATTATTCTTAAATTCACACATACGAAGTAGCGTGAAAAAACTAGTTAGTTTTACAACTGTCGTACCTATAAAAATGTTAAATTGTAAAAATATTCATTGGGCACTTTCTATCACCAGTTGAATGACTTTTCAATTATTCAGTTTGAATTTTCACATCGTGTTCCCATTATGAGAGTTTTATATCCCCGTGACATTCATTATTTGGAGAATCAGGTAACTGATGTGAATGACATTTATTATTGGCTTCATTAATTAGCCAAAATGGGAATTGAACCTTATTTATGGAAAGAACCGTGGTCACTTTTACAATATGGAGGGTATTTAAATCTTAAATCTCAATGAAATAATTTTGGACCCAGATAGACCAGAGATCAAGAAGTTGGTTAGGAAGGTGAGTAGCACAGTATACTCTATTATGGTACTGTTCATGTCTATAGGCAACGATTACGATTTTCCATCAGGTAGACCGTCAGCTTGTTTCTCATTCCAAGTTGCATAAAAAAGTTAAAATACATAATAATATGAAAATAATATAAAGTGCAGAAAGGTGTAAGACAAGGTGACGTTATGCCCCCAAAACCCTTTACAGCTGCATTGGAAGATATTTTCCAACTTCTGGACTGAAAAAGAAGAAACTCGGTGAACAGAGTGAAAGATGTCAACAAAATATCGATTAAATACAAAGTCGACAAAATCACATTTATCAGTTGGCAATACTGATTAGAAGACAATTCTAATTTTGTGAATTTTTGACAATTGTTCGTTTCATATTTTCGTTTATATCTCTATTACTAGAATGTAATAAACCAGGATCTGAACTGTGAAAGTTGCTAAGTTCTGGTCCAATTATATTTGTGTTATCTATCACCTCAAAAGAAAATGACCAGAACATATGATGCTGAAATAATTATCACTTGTTTCGTGCTTCGAATGGCATGTAAAGTCATTGAAGGCAACCCAAAAATGTTTAACATCATATAGCGTTACCCTCACACCAGTATTGCTAGTACTAAAATGAAGAGGAGGAAGACATTGTTAGTAAAGGGGACTAGAGCCTTATTGACAGCAACATTAGGTCGAATTCTTGACGAATTAGTCACAATGGGCTAAGTGACCTGCTCTCTTTCATTCTCACATACTGATACCCCAGTGTATACCGACAGCGCAGGCAAAGTAAGTACACCATTATCAACTATAAAAAGTATTAGAATGAAAAACTTCACCAGAATTTACTGAAGTATTGCTAATGTGTTTTTGTTTTTATTTTTATACCACAAAGATAGCAAACAATCATACAGCCCGTCTGATGGTAAACGGTTACTGTAGCCTATGGACGCTTGTAACACTAGAAGGTGGCAAAACTTTAATATAACATTTTTTTTTTTAAAAACCATACTGTCGTCTCTATGGAAGAGCTCGGCAGGGAGCTCATCTCACAGCTTGAACGCTTGCGGGAGAAAATTCCTTTGAAACAGCGCTGTAAGTGATCATTTAGGTTCAAGCGTTTGAGTATAAATTCCCTGTCGATTTTTCTGGCTGCCTGTGGGCATCATTTCAAATAACTCCAAAGGAGGCAGAATTACTCTAATTTTATTCTGTAAAGTCCATACTATTGAATGTCATATTCTGAATCCATCTTAGGCATGTGTTATGTTACGGTAATTTCTTTATACGAGTATACCTTATTTTGCAAGATAAGTGTTTATTTGCAACATACAAGTACATTTTTCAATCCGCTTTCGTTGAAAAATGTATGCATAACCCTGAACTTCGGAGATAAACCGTATACTTATTAGAATTTCTAATTAACTGTATTAAAGTAAATTGCCAATTATTTGGAACTAATCAAAAGGCAGACCCTCAAAGCTCCGAACTTGGGCGTGGATTAAGTTAAGATTACTTTGTATATAGGCTGTGTAACTTGGATTATATGGGGTGTAATTCCAACAATTTACTATATCGATACTGAATCCTGCATAAATATACAGAGCGATCCATAAGATGGGTTAGTATAGGTAGGCTTAAATTAACAAACCATATATTGAGCAAGAGATATCGTGTCTTGTCATTCAAAGACGTTATTGGTCATTAGATCGTGATTTTTTGTATTGATCAATTTTATATCCTATATCTTGGTAAGCATCTTGAAAATCCATTTGTACTCTACACGGCACGAGTTTCTCTTCAAATTGTAAACTACACTGACCAATGCAGGAGCAGTAGGTAAACCTAAGAGATTTTTCTCTTCTCTTATTCTTCTATATCTCTTCTCTTCTCTTATGATTACAAAAAGAGAATATGATTTGATACTACCCCACTTGCATTCTTCTACAGTTTAGCTGGATGAAGGACAAAACTCGGGACGAGCCCCGACTGTAACTAGCTGGGAGAAATCCCTTCAAGGGTAAGACCGTTTGGATACATTGTTATTTTCTTTACAACTTGATATGTATCTCAAATATGAATGTACAATAAAGCTTATACAAACCTATACAAACAACCCCTTGGTTAGAGCAGTATGTTCTTGAAGCAGGCATGGTTAATTTGAAAATTTGAGTTTTTGAAACCATGTACTAGAGCCGCAGTTACATTTTGAATAGAAGTAATCTATATTAATGTAAACGTAGTTTAACTCACACTTAGATGAGAACAGGGATTGTAAGTAATTGGGTCTAAGAACACCATTGCTAGCAATATATCCCATTAGTTCGACTTCAACGCAATTACCCCTGGAAACCACCGTGGTTAATTCTTGTGAGGTTCATCACAATTTACTAACTGAACTGCTTTCATTCATTCTTACCTGTCATTCCTTAATAGTGCCTTGATAGTGTATACCGAAAGCGCAGCCGGGGTTCCATAACCATTGCATTTTCACGTATAAAAAAAAAACACTCAAAGGAAGGATTTTTTTAATCGCTTGACTACATTAGTAAAGAATTTTATATAATGTTTTAAGAAGGACAGTTTGTTTAAAATTATTATATTACTTTAAGAGTCACAGTTTGTTTGTAAGATTCTATCTTCAAAACCTGTTAGATTCTATCAGAAACATTTTTTCAAATTTAAATGCGTTCATTTAAAGAAACTGTTGGAATAGCAACATAAATAATTAAAGATTATGTCCCACAAAACAATGACTTCCAATGTGACAAAACCAGGTATGATATCATAAAGGAAGTTGCACAATTTATAATATAAAATGTTCAAATAGGAAGAATTGGTTGCATAGATTTCATAAAAACCTTTGTTATTATTGGAAGTGACGCGGGGCTAATAAGGTCTCAGATTAATTACTATCAGAGCGTTAAACATGCAGTTTTTGTATAAAAAAACAAACTTTACAGTCTAAGACTTTATAAATAATTGTTATAATTTTATTGTTAAATGTTTCGCAAGTGTATATTTTATTATTTTTATTTGAATATAATAACAACCGGATTTAAAAGAACCGGAAGTCGAGAAAATTCGAATATTTTAGGGTCTCTAATGGTTTTGAAACTAGTCGAGTTTTCCTTACTAAAATACACGTAAGTTAATTCGGATGTTATTACCAGAAAATACGTATATTATAAACACAAATGCACTTAAATGAATTCTGGAAACCTCTGACTTATGTATACATAATAATTAAATAGGTATGTTTAATAACAAAGCAGGTAGATATATCATACTATTACCTATTGGTTTCTTATAGGAATAAGCTAAGGACAGACACCATACTGCCTAATTTTTAAAGCATAACATTATAAACATTTTTTTTTTTATAATTAGAACAATACAAAAACACTTACCAAATCAATCAGTTGTGACAATCTGAGTCCCAATTTAACCAATACGGTGTTATTGTTCTTATCCACAGGTCGTATTAGTCTATTGTAGTTACTCAACAAATCGTCATACAGTCGCTTCGCATCAGGATTGGCTAAGCATCCACTAATAAAAACAAAACACACTAACAATGTCCCATACATTATGAAAACTTAATGTCACAATATTCCAAATGACAACCAAAGAGGTTAGGTATGAAAAACCTAGTGAATTTGCAGAAAAATATTACACATCCAAAAAATTGTTAAAAGAATTATATCTATGAACATTAAATGTTATTTTTAATTGTATTCGAAATTCAAAACGTAATTTTTTATCAGTGTTTTCGATAAAACAATTTTGACAGCTACGCCCGTGAGACTGCAGCGATGGTGGCGCCCCTGTCGATACTAGCGGGGAAAACAATGAAAATGTGTAGTTACTGCGCCGACTCAGAAGGAAATTTATAACGGTGCCAATAAATATTTCTTTTTGAAGAAGTTGATTCGATGAAATTAATTTATGTTTATTTCAATTTGAAATGAGAACAGGAATTAAAATTCTATATGAAACAACATAATGACTCTTAATGTAAATAAATTAAAAGTAAAGTATATCTACTCTATGCGAGTGTAACGGTCTGGTTTGATGTTTAAAACTATTCCAAATTTAAAAAAATAATTAAGATGCAAAGACAATATGAAACCAAAAATGAATCTCGAGTTCCAAATTTGAAATTACTACGTTGTGCCAGGTTCATATAGATGCAGCTGTTGACGTCTATACATTCATCCAAAATTATTATAAGAGGACTTTTCGTCGTTAGATACATTATTTACGTGGCTGTATTCTGGATCGATGTGTAGTACGCATGCGCGGTGCTCCATTCATGGACCTCTGACGGGTGGTTAGTTCGGCGAATAAATAAAAGATGGCGCCGCTCGGGTGAAACTTTACGATTGTTACTCGAAGCAAAAATGTGGGTTTGTTTTGTGACGTGGAGATTTATATTTTTATTCATAGAGGATTATCTAATGGGGTGGTGGAGATTTCGTAAATAACAAGATGTAGGGCAAAAGGGGAGAACAGCCACAGAAAATCATAAATTATGTAGTGCAACTTTCATAAGTTGGATATGTTTTTGGTTGCCTTCGTGGAGATATTTTGAATAAAATGTACATATAGAATGGCGATATGTATATATGTATACATAATCATATTCGTACATAAATATATTCACATAATTATTGGGTATCTAATAATAATTTTACTAGACGATGTATGTACATGAAATTTAAGAAAACCTTTAAGAAAAACTGATATGCCACGCATCACTTCAGACCTGCTAAACCAATTAGACTTTTTTTTTGTTACATTTATAATTGTCAGGATATTAAATATTTTATTACTTCTTAGAGCTCTTATCGACAGATACCAACTTACTAAAACTTACTTGAATTTGAAAAATGACTATTTAAGAATATTACTGACTTATTTTAGAATCATCATATTTAAGAATATCATAATACCATAGATGCCTTTTTTTGTCCACAGCTGAACATAGACATCCCACATAAGGGAGGTTTGCCAATAGTTGCTAAGTTTCGCAGCGGATTGACAGCTGTAGTCTAAACTTTGTTGGTGTTTTAAGAGAGACGCTGCTGCCTCGACTATTAAGTTCCTTTAGTCGCCTCTTATGACACAGACGGGAAAGAAAGGGCTAGCTTATTCTATGCCAGGACCAAACCGTTTTTTGTAGAAAAGTTTTCGAAAATCTTTTATTTATATATAGATATTTTTATGTGATTACTATGGTTTCTATAAAACAGACTAAATATCAATAAACTACTAGAGTGACTCTTTTAAATTAATCCTATTACTAGTTATTATAAATTAAAAAATAATTAGTTAAATATTTTAATTAATATATTAGAAAGTATAATACAATATAACAGTCGTATATTAATAAAAAAAAATAGATTTTGACATAACCTACAGAATTCATTTAATCTTTCACTATTTACTAGATGAAGACTATACAAAAAGTGTTTACTGGGGTACCTCTGTCCCATTCTTGTTGCTGCCATTAAGCAGTTGTGTTTTTGTGTTTCTGTTTGAAAAGTAGAATATGACAGTGAAATTATAGAGAACGGAGACATACCAATTTAGTTCGCAGGAATAGTAATCATGAAAGGTATAATGGGCGACACAGGATACTCTGTGATGTTAATGGCACTGTTTAGGTCTATAGGCGACGGTCATTACTTTACATAAGGTGGACAGTTATTTTTTTTTTTATACAACTTAGAATGGCAAACAAGCTGACGGCCTACCTGATGTAAAGTAGTAACCGTCGCCTATAGACATGAGCAGTACCATGGACATAACAGAGTATACTGTTTCGCTCTTTGATACCCCCCATGCGTTGCCATTGCTGAGGACTCATGTGTTATTCCTCCGTACCCTGTAAATTTACGCCAACTGCTTCACGGTTGAAACACGAATGGGACAGAGATACCCGAGCAAACGACTTTTGTACAAAGTCTGCCTCTTAATTTGTTTGCCATTGTAAGTTGCAATAAACAAGTAAAGAATTAATATTTCATGAATATCTATTGATTATAGAAGCGATAACTGGCCAAGCTGAAACAATCACTCGCCCTCGAAATCAGAAATTTTATAGATCCCCTAAAATAAAAAAACTCAATTCGGGTGACTCGTTGGTTCATAAATAGGAGGTTAGTCAAGTATAAGGGTGTCAACTTTTCCTTTAAATATAGGATAAAACAATGTTAAGGCAAATTTAAATTAGTAAAAATATAATTTTATTTTGTTTAGGAGAATGTTTTGAAAGATATACATATGTATATGTATACACTATCAGTTGGCAGTGATCTTAAAGAAATTTTTTATTTATTTTACACTATTTTGCCATTTAAGAAATAATAAATACAGTAAATATTAATGTGAAGTGACACAAAAAGCGGCCATAAGTATACGAAGAAGGAGAAAAACATAGATGTTATTTATAAATAAATTATCTATAAAGATGAATTATTACCAGAGGGAGACTTTGTACAAAAGTTGATTGCTTGGGTACCTCTGTCCCATTCGTGTTTCAACCGTGAAGCAGTTGTGTTTGCATGGCTGTGTTTCGGTTTGAAGGGTGGGATATGGCGTGAATTTACTGGGTACAGAGGAATAACACCTGAGTTATTAGGAATGACAACGCATGGGGGGTATCATGGGCGAAACAGTATACTCTGTTATGTCCATGGTACTGCTCATGTCTATAGGCGACGGTTACCACTTTCCATCAGGTGGACCGTCAGTTTGTTTGTCATTCTAAGTTGTATAATTAAAATAAAAAATATATCATAAAGTATAATAATTAATATACCTGATAATTTGTAATGGAAGTAGATGTGCTTAAAATAACTGAAGGTTACAGACACGAGTATATTTTTCTTGTAAAAAATCCGCTACAGTTTTTGTACCTCTTTTCTAGTACTCATAGTACAATATATCGTCATAGTCGTAGAATACTGACGGATCTATATATGTAATGTTTGTCAGATCCGTCAGTATTCTACGACTATGACGATATGTATAACACCTTTATCCAGTAATATTTATTTATATTTAAGTAGGTACAGACCCTAAAATAATTTTTCGTTAACAGTTAAAAAAAAAAGTCTCTAAAATGTACATAGCAAAAATAGAAAACGATTAGGAAAAACCACTTTGCCTACTCGTTTTTTTGTCAGGTTAAAATTGGAATAGTCTCACGGAACTGCGGATGATTGGCAACCCTAGCAAAAAGGTTTGTCAGTAATGCGAACATAAAATGCGGGCGGCCTGAACTTAAACGAAAACTTTTCATATTTTTCAAATTTGGATTTGCCGTTACGGTTTTTGCCACCGGCCTGGTATTGACTTGCGTTTATAGACTTCTGGAATACATTTTTTTTTAAATTAGAATTATTTATAGGCGTAAAACCTTCAGTTTGTTTTTTATTAAAACTTTTTAATCGGAAGTTTGGTTAGAAGAGTGAATCATGTTTATAATTATAAATGTTAAAGTTTACCATTCAATCATGCTATAATGGCTGAACGGATTTAAATGCAATTTGGTTTACGAGTAGATTACCTATACGCGTGGGGAACCAATATTAGGTTTCTAATGAACGTACTGCGGGCTGGTACCGAATATTAAAAATGTACGTTAAGAGAGACGAGAGCTGACCTTTAGCCGTGACGTAGTAAGCTGCATCCACCAGAAGGTACTTCTGTGTCTCTGTCGGCGGCAATCCTTGCGTCCAAGGCCTTAGAGCGCTTCTTCTCGGCCAAAGATCGTGAGATCAGTGGATGTGGACTGTATCAGCGGTGAATCATGATCTATCCAGCGTGGATGATCATGATGGGATGATGATGGTAGGAAAACGCAAGGCGATTAACTACAATGAAGCGGTGTAACACATGCGGTCAAGAATAGCGGTTTACAACCAGCGTAGGCGGATATCAGCGGGAATACGACACAACCATCCGACGATGTTGCGTCATAGGCAGTTACGGTAACATTGGTGCATGCAGCGAAAGAATAATGACAACGGGGCGAATATAATATAAGAGTAGGGTAGATTAATTATAAATTGACGGCGTCAACAGGATATTTTAGATAGATAGATAGATATATACTCTTTATTGTTTCCTCCAAAAGATTATAATAGTAAACTTATTATAAATATAAACAATTACAAGAAATAATCACAATGAGAAAACAATGGGCGACCTTATCGCTAAGAGCGATCTCTTCCAGGCAACCTTTGGATGGAGAGGAGTAATTATAAGCAGTTTGGTGGGAGGCACGATGAAAAATTTTGTTAGTTCTAAATATGGGAGATGTGATACATATAATAATATAAATATTATCCCTACTCATTATTACATTTAAATACATACACCTACATATATATATATATATATATATATATAGTCAATTGATTGTTGTTGACGTTGTTATAGTTCAATTATTAAATGTTAGTATATTTATTTAATAAATACAATACAACATTTTATAGTACAATGTTAATAAAATATTGTCACGTAAATGCTAATTAGATTATTGGAATGTCAATTGTTTGAATTTAGAATTTAAGTATTATAATTGATTCGATCGTGTATCCGTTACATATTTTATGTATTTATAATTGTTGGAGAGGGCAGTAATGAATAGACTGGCCGTCATACATTTCTGCTTTAATTTTTGCCGAGGGAACACGTATTAAACATACGTATTCAAGATTAAAAATATCTTTTATTTCTGATAATAGCCGATAAATAATCTTCCAGCTATTAAGAATAATGAATATAGAATAATTATTGTTTGACAAACTGCATTGAGTCGTCTATTTATAACAGAGAACCTTTGAGAATTGGATCGCATTAAACAATTCTAAGTCGGTATGTATGTTGCCAAACACTGCATTGCGGGGCTCATAGTTGTTATTTTAAAATGAATGTATTTAAACTAGAATTCGCTGCAATATTTGAATTATTTGAAATATGATTACATAATATTTTATATTACAAATGCACGTTTGAATGGCTAATATAATTAATAGGTATAAAATGACTTCTGCCGAGTGGTCTCGACATAGAATAGGCCACCCCTTCCTTTCCCGTGGGTGTCGTAAGAGGCAACTAAGAGAACTTAATGGGCAGAAGCGTCTCTATTTAAACATCACAAAAGCCTAACTACAATTGCCCATTCAGAAGAAAAGCCTATTCAACTTTACAATATGTCTTAGCAGATTTACTCTATTTGTCAACCAACTTTAAAGAAGGAGGACGTTCTCAAATCTATTGTATTTTTTTATGTTAGTTACTTAATAATTCTGTTATTTGCAAACTGATTTGAAAAATTCTTTTTTGGCTGGAAAGAGATATTTTCAGATTAGTTCCATAGAAATTTTATCAAAATCGGTTATAATATAAATAACTGGTTTTATGACTATTGAAGTCGGTTTTTTTGTAGAACATAATCTTAAATTGATTTATGTTTTTTTCTTTTTCTTTGTAACAACGTATTATATTATAGTAATGAAATATTCATTACTCTTATTCTATCTTATTATTCTATCTATAATACTGTCATGAGAGCCAAAACTGAACTGTATCTAAATTTGTAAATCACTATATCTTGGTAATTCTTAATGGACTCCCGCGATACAGATTTGCCTAGTGCGGGGTCCAATGTACGCATGTTGTATATTTTTAGTGTTTAATAAATAAATAAAACATTTAATTTCTAATAACATTTTCGATGTAAAGTAAATAGTGTAACTAAAAATATTTAGAAAACTGAGATGAATTAATAATAAGAATTTTACATGTAATATTCAAAATTGGTAATTTATATGCAACGCATGGGGGTATCATGGGCAAAACAGTATACTCAGTTGCATAAAAAAATATGATCTTTGTACATAAAAATCTACTTCGATCCAGACAAAATAGGATTAACACGAGTTATTTCCTTTTTAAAAGCACTTTATAAATTATTCGATCTTGATAAAATTTGTCAGGTTTGACGAATATGAGAATTAACTTTTTTGGATAAAACAATTTAAGACGAATTAATAAGCGCTTTTTTGAAGCCGCTTAAAAAGGATAATGAATACTTTAACTGAACTTAACGTTGTAGTTAAAACATTACCGCGAAAATCATTAATATTTAACGTTGCAATATTTTTAACGGATTTAAGATGCAAATTACATGTTACTAAAGTCGGGCAAAATTCTGAAATGTTAATTAAATTTAATAACCGTTCACAGCAATTGTTAATCAATATTCTACCAACTATAATAATAAACCCTCTCTCTTACTTTTTCTCTTAATTAAAGGGGTTCTCTCTTACAAAACCATCACGGGAGGTAATTATTTTGAAGTAAAAGAAGAAAATTCACTTAAGTCATATTACTAAATCATTAATAACAACTTTTTTGAATCCGGTCGAAAAGATAATGAATATTTGATACTAACAATAGTACGTTAATGTTCTAGCTATAACACTACCGCGGAAACCATTAACATTCAACTTCGCAATATTTCTTAACGGATTTAAGATTCAAATTACAAGTTACTAAAGTCGGGCAAAATTCTGAAATGTTATTTAAATTTAAAAACCGTTCACAGCAATTGTTAATCAATATTCTACAAACTATAATAAAAAAACTCTCTCTCTCCCTTTTTCTTACAGAACCATCACGGGAGGTAATTATTTTTAATTAAAAGAAAAAAAAATCACTTAAGTCATATTACTAAATCACTAATAACAACTTTTTTGAATCCGGTCGAAAAGATAATGAATATTTGATACTAACAATAGTACGTTAATGTTCTAGCTATAACACTACCGCGGAAACCATTAACATTCAACGTCGCAATATTTCTTAACGGATTTAAGATTCAAATTACAAGTTACTAAAGTCGGGCAAAATTCTGAAATGTTAATTAAATTAAACAACCGTTAATAGCAATTGTTCGGAGCCAGGCTCCCGGTCTACAAATAACGGTGTACACACAAAAGTTTATTTCACAAATGCAGAGAAATGAGCGATACTGCGACGCTTAGTTGTTCTGCGAGTCAGGCTCATTGTTTGTGTAATGAACTATTCCAGTGTATGTACTCGTTGGTTTTTGTTGGTACTTTTCAGGCACTTTTGACGTCACGAGAGCACCTTGTAAATGGGGCGATGACCTCAAATCTGGGAAAGTCAGCGGATGCAGATATGTCAAGGGCGTTCCTTATGAGTCTACAAGAGGGGCGGGGAAGGGTTATATTAAAAGTCGACAATGTGGTAAATGATAAAGTAAAACATAAAACTATAATATATTGTAAGACATATGAAACAAATTTCAAAATTTGGATCTTAAAAAAAATCGTGGAAAATAGGTTGAAAATTGTGTTAATTATTTACTAAGCAATGAGAAACGGAGTTTTTTCATTGTACAGAAGTAACATATTCTGGAGTATAGGTAAAATATTTTTAATATTATTTAAACAAATTTATATCAATAGGACTTATGAAATAATTCTTTTTACATATCTTGCAATGTGGTCCCGGCATAGAATGGACCACACTTTCCTTCCCCGTAAGTGTCTTAAAAGACAATTAAAGAAACTTAATAATCAAGGAATGTGTAGCTGCGTCCTTCTTAAAACATCACCAAAGGCTAACTGCTGTTGCCAACTCGCCTGCCAAGCGTGGCAACTACTGGCAAAACCTTTCTTTATGAGTAAAACCTATGTTCAGCAGTGGACAGATGATGATGATAACATGAAATAAGATTGTGTGTTTTTGTTTACACTATAAAGGTGGTAAACAAAAATACAGTCCATTTAATGGTAAAATGTTACCGTAATTTATGGACGCTTGTAAACACTGATCCTAAAAAAACCTTAATACGACCTTTTTGTAGTATCCCATACCGTAGGACTCTAGGGAGAATCACTACATAATGTAACATAGTTCTCGTAAAAGATACGCAAGTACCTTATATAAATAGTTTTATAATATAGGTTTTGTTTTGTTTTTAACATATTCATGGAATAAATAAATTTAAATTATAAAACAAATATCCACCGTTCATTATCTTCATGTTTAGGGTTCCATACCTCTAAAAGAAAAAACGGAATCCTTATAGGTTCACTTCGTTGTCCGTTCATCCGTCCGTCTGTCAATATCCTTTTTCTTAGGAACGCGTAGAGGTATCAAGCTGAAATTAATATTATATACACAAGTCTGAAATCTCTTAAAGCAGTGAAAAAATCAAGCTTCTAAATCGACGCAATGAAAAGATACAGCCAGATACAGATACATGTTCTAATTACATTACATATTTTGACATTGCAAAGGGAATCAAAATCTATGAATCTAGAATCATGAAATTTAAAGAAAAACTATCATCAGCAAACCGTAAATTGATAGTTATTAAAAAAAAAATTAAACTTGATGATATTGTACGGAACTCTCATTGCACGAGTCGAATGCGCACTTAACTGGCTTTTTTATATGGAAACCATATGGTATAGAATTGGCTCACGTTATTAGCTTCGTATATAAGCATGCCCGGTCTTCTAAAGTTGCACAGATAATAGATTTATCTGACTTTACAGAGACGAAAAAATACACTTTGTTTCGCAAATTAAAACTACAATTGCTCTATCAAAGAATGTAATGTTACAAAAAAATGTAGCCAGAATCTTTCGGGATGATACATCCAAATCTGTTCAGGAATTTTAGAAGTTATTATAGAATAAAGAATCTCACCTATCTATCTATCCTATTTAAGAGCTGCGCTCTTGTCGGTGGAGCTCTTGGAGTGAGTGGCTCACTACGGTTTTCTGCGTGTCTCTTCACCTCTTGACACGATACAACACCAACACCTTCCTTGATCTGCCTGATGTAACTATGCCTTGGTTTCTCTTTTCCCCTCCTTCCTTCTATCTTACCTTCTATTATATACTATAATAGAAACTCAAAAGAATCTCATATTGAAAATAAAGACAGTGGAAATAAAAATAGACGGAGTTTGCGTACTTACATGTATATATTTTACTAACTGTATCTCACGGCTTCGTCCGCATCCAATTCGTGTATCAAATTTTTTTCAAATTCGTAAAGTAGTATTCGCGTGAAAGAGTAACAAATATCCATCCATCCTTATGAACTTTCGCATTTATAATATTTATAATATTGTGATAGGATGTGATGAACGTCAAGGGTCACAGGATATGTGACCTTTGACGTCATAATAGCGTTAAAAGAGAGGACACTTTTAAATCCTCACACAAACACCATACCCTACTTAATGAAAAATGCTATGTTATTCTAATTTTAAATTATTGAACGCCAGGATTCCATTATAATTGCTATTACATTGAGATAACAGGCCGCGTACCCTGGAGGACCGTTTTAAAATTATATACGGCCATGATTACGTCAAACAACGCCATACTGGTCTTATCGGTTACAATTTGTCGGCGGTATTCATTGTGGTGGAACATTTTTGAGACTTGCAACGATTTCTTTGTAAGTTTTCGTATTTTTTAATTGAAGGTATAACCAAACAGTCTAATGGTAAGTGGCCACTGCTGCCAGGAGATGAGACAGGCGGAGGTACATATGAAAATTATAGGACTATTTATTTACTTAAATAACTTTATTGACTAAAAGAAAATATGGTACAAAAGGTGGTATGAGACAGATGTTATTCCTCTGTACCCTGTAAATTCACGCCATATCCTACCCTTCAAACCGAAACACAGCCATGCAAACACAACAGCTTCACGGTAGAAACACGAATGGGACAGAGGTACCCAATCAATCGACTTTTGTTCAAAGTTTCCATCTCATGATGATGATGATGATGATATTCAAAATATGTCATCTTCTGAAACATCATAACCTAATTTCGTTTCTAATTATTTGCCGTTTAATATCTTTAGTTTGAATAGGCGCTTAAAAAATGAACACGAAATTATGGAATAAAAATTGTTAATTAGGAAAAAAAAAACAAGTCATGTGTACACGGATTAAAATTTGCAACTTATCTCAAGGCAGTCACAAAGATAAGATGTGATGAAGGGTCACATTTATCGGATTATCAAAAGGATCCACTGAATTTAACGGGTATATTTTTTTCGACGCGCACACACAATTTCTAGTTGACTACTCAAGATTATTTTTTACCTTTTTTTAACTTTCAATTCGTCTGAATTTTTTTTTTCAAATTTGTTTTGCAATTACATCGCGAATTCTGAACCATTTCTCACAGTACTTTTTGCATTTGTTAGGTTTTACTCACATTTTAATTTTGTGACGATTGAAGCAGTTGTTTTCCTTTGCAGAGCAAAAAATTGCTAGTTTTGAAGCAAACTGCATGTCTAAATATGTAACATTTACGACTAGCTGTATACCGTTGCATCACTCGCGTAAATTACTGTATAAAGTATTTTATGTGTTAAATTAGGATATAACCTACCTGCATACCAAATTTGATTTAAATCTGTTTAGTACTTTTTGCGTGAAAGAGTAACAGACATTCATCTATCCATCGTTACAAACTTTTACATTTATAATATTAATTTTATAATACTAAATTGATTTTATCAACTGGAAACAGACAGCGAAGTAAGATTCTGAAGTAACAGTCACATGTAAAAAAAAAGTAGTGAGTGGTGAAACCCACGGGCTATCCCATGGGATGGGAAACGATTTCAAAAGCGTTGAAGGGAATCGCAAGATTGTACTTTGTGGAAAAACATGAGAGAGTTCCACATTCGGCAGTACATAATGGATAGGTTTATATTGATAATGATAATTGTATTATATGTTATATATATCATATCAGCCTCCATCTGTCCACTGCTAAACATAGATCTCTCCATAGACTGCCATAAGGAACAGTCCTGAGTTACCTGCATCCTCTAACTTCCTGTAATGCATTTGAGGTCGTCACTCCATCTGACTTTTTTATAAAAATATTGAATAGGTTTATTTAGCTCTATATATTTCGTCTAGATTAAGGAATGTACGGCTACTTTCTACCATCGTACGGCTTACCATCGACAGAGAGTTCATCCTCATATCCTACAGCCTCAATGGTCGCGTACTGCGCGGTTTCAGAGATGTTTCCTCCAACGAACGCTCAGGTTAAGGAATGAGCTCCCTGCCGATGTTTTCCCAAGAAACTACAGCATGGGGTTCTTCAAAAGGGGGGTAAAGAGGTTTCTTCAAGGTCGGCAACGCACGCGTAATACCTCTGGTATTGCAGGCGTTCATAGGCTACAGTAACCATTTACCATCAGGTAATGGGCTGTATGCTTGTTTGCCACCTCAGTGGTATAAAAAAAAATGTAGTAGACAAGTAATGAACATTAAAAGAGGTGTGAAAAAGGAAGGTAAAAGTGAGGGGATCGTCATACCTTGTGTGTTTTATATGGGACGCATTAGTTAGTACGTCATCATACGAAGCAATCAACTTTAACAATCGCTGATATTCCGTGGAATAAAGAGATAAGAGCTATTGACAGGGACAAGTTTCTTTTTATTATATCCGTTGTGCCGAAACCAGGAAAGTAATATAGAAGCCGGGATCAGATCAAAAGTTTTCGTATATGTTAACATATATCCGTGGAAGACCGTCAATATTTTATTTGTACCTTTTATCCGACTTATTTGTGAGTGATAACCTGTTGAAGATAAATACCTATGAACAATATTTGTAACTGGATTTTTTGACAAGTTCATATATGTTGGTTTCGTAAAAAGAAACATTCCAAATGTAAACTCGTCGATAAACGAAGAGATGTTCTTTAGATACCCTATAACGTCTTTTTTTTTTATAGATAAATCTGAACGAGTGCCGGTCTGCCACCGTGCGTTTTTCGAGGCACTTTCTTCCACGCACAACCACTCTTTGGAATCAACTTCCAACAGCAGTATTTAGGAAGGGATATGAAATCGTAACTTTCAAGAAAATAGTATATTCCTTTTTTAAAGGCCGGCAGCACACCTGCAATGCCGTTAGTGTTATGGGTGATCATGGGCGGTGGTAGTCACTTACCATCAGGTGAGCCGCATGCTTGTTTGCCCTTTGTGTTGTAAAAAAACAATACCCTACATTATATCAATATTATAAATGCGAAAGTTTGCAATAATGGATGGATAGATAGATGGATGGATAGAAGAATGGATAGATGGATGAATGGATGGATAGATAGATGGATGGAAGGAAGAATGGATAGATGGATGGATAGATGGATGGATAGTCTTCAGTCTCATTGTTGATAATATAACTTATCGGGGGAAAAGAGATTGTTAGTAATGGGGTCTAACTGCCCCTTTGTCAGTATATATTACTCTAAAAGGTCGACCTCCACGCTGTCACATTTGGAAACTATCGTGGTTAACAACGGTTGAATTTGTCATGATAAGCTAACTGATATACTTTATCCTCACTTATTATTCCTCACTGGTGCCCCTCCAGTTTACCAATAGCGCATACGGGACCCACTATTACATTTTTACCTTTAAATAAATGTACCCTATCAGGTTGATCTACACGCGGTTACTCTTAGAAATCATCGTGGTTAATTCTTGTAGAACTATTGATAGACTAATTGACCTGCTTTCATCCTCACTTGTTATACTTCACTGGTACTTCACCAGTGTATATCGATAGCGCAGGCTGGATTTTTTTTAAATTAAAATGGCATGGTAACCCTGCCTGCGCTATCGGTATACACTGGTGGGGCACCAGTGAGAGGTGATAGGTGAGGATGAAAATTCAGGTCAGTTAGCCCATCGTGACGAATTCAACAAGAATTGTTCACGATGATTTCCAGGGGGATCCACGTGGAGGTCGACCTAATAAGGAATATTGCTAGCAATGGGGCTGTCAAACTCCATTGCTAACAATCCCTTTCCTTCCTAGCAGGCGGGATTATCATGCCATGAAAAATAACAGAATATGCTTGTTTCTATCACCGGAGCCTTAAACTCTGTCCGATTGTGCCTAGTCCGAGGTTAGTTTGCAATCTCTCTTCTTTAAGTGAGGAGATGTGGTTTTTAAAGAAAAAAATAGTAATAAAATGCTAATGATCTCAACTTTACCCTGTAAAAGATACCATGTTTTCGTATGGTCCATGGGAAAATCACGGGTACTCCAGTAACGTAGTATGCAAATGAAAATATCGATTTTCAATACATCATTTATTTCAATTTCCGATAATATGTCATATCTACAACAAATAACGGAACCATATTGATATTTTAACTGTGTATTGTACTCAATATAGATACATGGATTTAATATATAAAAGGCCAAAGTTAATTAACAATACAATTTTTTATTCTCTATGAGTTCTGACATAACGGATTTTAGTTATCTAACTCCCGGTCATTTCTTGACTGGTAATGCTATTGTAGCTTATCCTGAAAATGATGTATCAGATTTACCTATTAATAGACTAAGTTTTTGGAAACAATGTGAACATTTAAAACAATGTTTTTGGAAAATATGGCATAAGTACTATTTAAATGCTTTGCAGTTTAGATCCAAATGGCAAAAGAGTTATCCTAATGTAACAGTAGGAATGTTGGTGATACTCAAGGACCCAAACAATCCTCCTTTGCACTGGCCTATGGCTAGAATAAGTAAGGTTTTCCAGGTAGAGATGGGAAGGTTAGAGCTTTCGAAGTTGTAACACCTAATGGTAAAACTTATAAACGTTCCTTATCTGGTATATGTATTCTTCCTATAAATGATGCCTAGATTTAATTATTATTTGCTCATTTTAAACTGCTTTCTTTTTCTTCTTCTTTTAATGTATAATGATAAAGAGAAGTAGGAATATGTTATTTGCAATTGTTTAGTTATTTATACAATTTGTTATTGTTATACTTATTGTAATGTAATTGGGCATCACCCACAATATTGGATTTACTAATATAACCATCAACTGTAATATTTTTATGGTTTTGTTATGTTTATGCAAGTTGTATTAGTATGAAGTAAAGACATTTTCTGTTATATGTTATATGTTGTGTAGCACATGTTACTGTTCTGGTAATTTATCCACTAATAAACCGTTGGTGTGGCGAGCATGTTGGAAACTCCAACAAAAAATTAATACTGGCATAAAAACTTTTTATTATATTTTTTAATTTTAAATAAAGAATAAATAAAAATTGTCATAAAAATGGAGAATAAAAAATTGTATTGTTAATTAACTTTGGCCTTTTATATATTAAATCCATGTATCTATATTGAGTACAATACAAATTTGGTTGTATTAGTAAATCCAATATTTTGGGTGATGCCCAATTACATTACAATAAGTATAACAATAACAAATTGTATAAATAACTAAACAATTACAAATAACATATTCTTACTTCTCTTTATCGTTATACATTAAAAGAAGAAGAAAAAGAAAGCAGTTTAAAATGAGCAAATAATAATTAAATCTAGGCATCATTTATAGGAAGAATACATATACCAGATAAGGAACGTTTATAAGTTTTACCATTAGGTGTTACAACTTCGAAAGCTCTAACCTTCCCATCTCTACCTGGAAAAACCTTACTTATTCTAGCCATAGGCCAGTGCAAAGGAGGATTGTTTGGGTCCTTGAGTATCACCAACATTTCTACTGTTACATTAGGATAACTCTTTTGCCATTTGGATCTAAACTGCAAAGCATTTAAATAGTACTTATGCCATATTTTCCAAAAACATTGTTTTAAATGTTCACATTGTTTCCAAAAACTTAGTCTATTAATAGGTAAATCTGATACATCATTTTCAGGATAAGCTACAATAGCATTACCAGTCAAGAAATGACCGGGAGTTAGATAACTAAAATCCGTTATATCAGAACTCATAGGTAAAATAGGCCTTGAATTTAAGACACCCTCTATCTGAACTAAAATTGTGTACAATTGCTCATATGTTAACAAAAGCTTTTGTAAAATCCTTTTTAAATGAAATTTGGTACTCTTGACAGCAGCTTCTGCCAGGCCAGCAAAAGTAGGTGAATAACTGGGTATGAAGTGAAATTTCACCCCTTGCTGCGCTGCATACGCTTGTATTCGCGTTTGATGACCCTTGGAAGCTTGGAGCCGGTAAAGTTCAACAAATTGGTTCGCCGCACCCTTGAAAGCACCTCCATTATCAGCGAAAATTTCACTGGGAAGGCCACGTCTCGAAATGAACCTTTTAAAACAGGCGAGAAAGGTTTCGGTGCTCAAATCTGAAGCTAGTTCAAGATGAACCGCCTTCGTTACGAAACAAACAAATACACATATATAACCTTTAGTTTCGATTGCACGTCTGACTCTAGAATTCTTAACTCGAAGTGGACCGGCAAAATCTACGCCAACGGTCTGGAAAGGCCTACAGGCAGTAACACGTTGATATGGTAGCGAACCCATCAGTTGCTTTGCCGCCTCTGCCTTCAATTTAAAGCAAACAAGACATCTATAAGTTATTTTCTTAACTTGTTGCATGCCATTAATCAGCCAGTACCTTTGATTAAGACTCGAAAGGAGCAACTTCGGACCTGCATGAAATAATCTAATATGTTCATTCTGAATTATAAGTTCGGTTATTCTTGATTGCTTCGGTAAAACAATAGGATGTTTTTGATTATAAGATATTTCAGCATTATGAAGCCTTCCACCTACCCTTATTAGACCGTGCTTATCCAGGAAAATATGAAGAGGTTTTAAAATACCCTCTACATCTTTGCTTTCAGTCAACGATTTTATTTCCTTGCTAAAATGGATACTTTGTTCGTGTTTAATAATGTTTTGCGATGACTGTTGCAATTCCTTTGTAGTTAAATAATTACATTTAGTCTGATCATTTTTATTTTTAAGATTATGACAAAATCTTAATATGTAGGCTAACACCCTGATCATTTTATTTATATCCGAGTACTTATCTATAAGCTGATAGGTATCACTCTTTATTTGTGTTGAGAGGGATACTACCTTAGAAGAATCTACAGCCGCACCAGAATTCTTTAATTCAGGTAAGTCGATAGGTAAGGAAGCCTTGTTTGTAAAATTGTACCTATTGTCTTTTAGAAAGTCTGGTCCGTCCCACCATAGAAAGCAAGATGGTAATTCTTTTGGATCTATACCTCTACTTATTAAATCGGCTGGATTTTCCTTTGTTTTAACATAATTCCATTGAAATTGTACAGTTTTTTCTGTAATCACTTTTACTCGGTTAGCCACATATGCTTGTAAATTAAAAATATCAGTATTCAACCAACCTAAAACAATCTTAGAATCGGTAAAGAGATAAACACTATCAATTGAAAGTTTGAGCTGTAACGTTTCATATGTCCTCCGTACTAGACTTGATAGCAATAAGGCCGCATTCAACTCTAACCGTGGTATCGTTATTGGTTTCGAAAACGAATTAATTCTGGACTTCGCACATAAAAGAAACATGCGCACATTACAATCAGAGTCTACCGTTCTAAGATATACACAGCATCCGTAGCCTATTTTACTTGAGGCATCGGCAAAACCGATCAATTGAACAGCCTTAGAACCTAATGGAATTGGTATATTTCTATTAATATGAATCGGTTCCATTGCCTTGAGACCGTCAATAAAAAACAACCATTCTTCTTTAACATGATCGGAGGGAGAAGCATCCCAACTAATACCTTCAGCCCACAGTTTCTGCATAATAATCTTAGCCTTTACTATAATTGGACACACAAATCCAAGTGGATCATAAAACTTAGCAATACAGCTTAAAATTGACTTTTTTGTTACCGATTTTATATCAATAGTTTCTGGGCATGTGATATTAAACCAATCATTCTTTACATCTAGATTTAAACCTAATACTTTCATGGTATAATTATCCTTTTGCAACTCTAGCTCGTCAAAATGTTGTTTACTAATTGGAACATCAGACAATATTTCTGGATCATTAGTTGACCATTTATGTGTTTCAAAACTTCCTTTTTGTAGCAAAGACTGTAATTGTTGCTTAGCTTCTTTTATTTCACTAAGATCTGATGACGAATAGAGGATATCATCGACGTAAGTACAGTTTCGCAATATAAATGAAGCTATAGGAAATTCTTGACCAAATAGTTCAGTAAGTTCGAGTAAACAACGAGTTGATAAATAACTTGAACTTTTCATACCGTACGTAACAGTATTTAAACGTATACATTTTATTGCCTCATCAGGATTATTTCGCCAAAGAATATTTTGAAGAGCCCTGTGTTTGGGATTCACCAGAATATTCCTAAACATACGCCTTATATCCGTGGAAAACGTATATTTACCAATTCGGAACAATAAAATTACATCAAAAAGCTCTTTCTGGACTGAAGGCCCATTCAGTAATAAATCGTTTAATGAAACCTTTTTATCCGTCTTCATTGAGGCATCAAAAACGACTCTTGTGCGAGTAGTTTTACTCGATTCATTAATGACCGCATGATGCGGTAAAAAATATACAGCATCTTTGTCAAAATCATAGAAATCAAAATTAATAAAATCGCCATGACCTAGCTCTACATATTCATGAATAAATTTATTATATTCTGACAATAGATTAATATTATTTTGTAAACGCCTTTCCAAACTTAAAAATCGATACCAAGCTAAAACAAAAGAATTGCCCAAATAATTATGAATTTCATTATCCTCGACTTTAAGAGGTAAATTCACCTGGAATCTATTATCAATCAATTCTACAGAATTCTGAAAGATAGTTTCAGCTAACTCTTGTTCACTTTGATTCTCAGAAAAGATTTGTGGTATACTCTCAGCTTCCCAAAATAATTTGATATTATCATTGATTTCAGGATCGCATTTAATACATAATAGTGATGTTACCTGTTTTGAAGCTTGCTGATATTCAAGCATTGAACCACCAATAATATATCCAAAACGTGTATTGATAATGCAGGGCGTATTGTCTCTCTTTGTATTGTACTCAATATAGATACATGGATTTAATATATAAAAGGCCAAAGTTAATTAACAATACAATTTTTTATTCTCCATTTTTATGACAATTTTATTTATTATTTATTTGAAATTAAAAAAAATATAATAAAAAGTTTTTATGCCAGTATTAATTTTTGTTGGAGTTTCCAACATGCTCGCCACACCAGCGGTTTATTAGTGGATAAATTACCAGAACAGTAACATGTGCTGCACAATATATAACATATAACAGAAAATGTCTTTACTTCATACTAATACAACTTGCATAAACATAACAGAACCATAAAAATATTACAGTTGATGGTTATATTAGTAAATCCAATATTTTGGGTGATGCCCAATTACATTACAATAAGTATAACAATAACAAATTGTATAAATAACTAAACAATTACAAACAACATATTCTTACTTCTCTTTATCGTTATACATTAAAAGAAGAAGAAAAAGAAAGCAGTTTAAAATGAGCAAATAATAATTAAATCTAGGCATCATTTATAGGAAGAATACATATACCAGATAAGGAACGTTTATAAGTTTTACCATTAGGTGTTACAACTTCGAAAGCTCTAACCTTCCCATCTCTACCTGGAAAAACCTTACTTATTCTAGCCATAGGCCAGTGCAAAGGAGGATTGTTTGGGTCCTTGAGTATCACCAACATTCCTACTGTTACATTAGGATAACTCTTTTGCCATTTGGATCTAAACTGCAAAGCATTTAAATAGTACTTATGCCATATTTTCCAAAAACATTGTTTTAAATGTTCACATTGTTTCCAAAAACTTAGTCTATTAATAGGTAAATCTGATACATCATTTTCAGGATAAGCTACAATAGCATTACCAGTCAAGAAATGACCGGGAGTTAGATAACTAAAATCCGTTATGTCAGAACTCATAGGTAAAATAGGCCTTGAATTTAAGACACCCTCTATCTGAACTAAAATTGTGTACAATTGCTCATATGTTAACAAAAGCTTTTGTAAAATCCTTTTTAAATGAAATTTGGTACTCTTGACAGCAGCTTCTGCCAGGCCAGCAAAAGTAGGTGAATAACTGGGTATGAAGTGAAATTTCACCCCTTGCTGCGCTGCATACGCTTGTATTCGCGTTTGATGACCCTTGGAAGCTTGGAGCCGGTAAAGTTCAACAAATTGGTTCGCCGCACCCTTGAAAGCACCTCCATTATCAGCGAAAATTTCACTGGGAAGGCCACGTCTCGAAATGAACCTTTTAAAACAGGCGAGAAAGGTTTCGGTGCTCAAATCTGAAGCTAGTTCAAGATGAACCGCTTTCGTTACGAAACAAACAAATACACATATATAACCTTTAGTTTCGATTGCACGTCTGACTCTAGAATTCTTAACTCGAAGTGGACCGGCAAAATCTACGCCAACGGTCTGGAAAGGCCTACAGGCAGTAACACGTTGATATGGTAGCGAACCCATCAGTTGCTTTGCCGCCTCTGCCTTCAATTTAAAGCAAACAAGACATCTATAAGTTATTTTCTTAACCTGTCGCATGCCATTAATCAGCCAGTACCTTTGATTAAGACTCGAAAGGAGCGACTTCGGACCTGCATGAAATAATCTAATATGTTCATTCTGAATTATAAGTTCGGTTATTCTTGATTGCTTCGGTAAAACAATAGGATGTTTTTGATTATAAGATATTTCAGCATTATGAAGCCTTCCACCTACCCTTATTAGACCGTGCTTATCCAGGAAAATATGAAGAGGTTTTAAAATACCCTCTACATCTTTGCTTTCAGTCATTTTATTTCCTTGCTAAAATGGATACTTTGTTCGTGTTTAATAATGTTTTGCGATGACTGTTGCAATTCCTTTGTAGTTAAATAATTACATTTAGTCTGATCATTTTTATTTTTAAGATTATGACAAAATCTTAATATGTAGGCTAACACCCTGATCATTTTATTTATATCCGAGTACTTATCTATAAGCTGATAGATATCACTCTTTATTTGTGTTGAGAGGGATACTACCTTAGAGGAATCTACAGCCGCACCAGAATTCTTCAATTCAGGTAAGTCGATAGGTAAGGAAGCCTTGTTTGTAAAATTGTACCTATTGTCTTTTAGAAAGTCTGGTCCGTCCCACCATAGAGAGCAAGATGGTAATTCTTTTGGATACCTCTACTTATTAAATCGGCTGGATTTTCCTTTGTGTTAACATAATTCCATTGAAATTGTACAGTTTTTTCTGTAATCACTTTTACTCGGTTAGCCACATATGCTTGTAAATTAAAAATATCAGTATTCAACCAACCTAAAACAATCTTAGAATCGGTAAAGAGATAAACACTATCAATTGAAAGTTTGAGCTGTAACGTTTTATATGTCCTCCGTACTAGACTTGATAGCAATAAGGCCGCATTCAACTCTAACCGTGGTATCGTTATTGGTTTCGAAAACGAATTAATTCTGGACTTCGCACATAAAAGAAACATGCGCACATTACAATCAGAGTCTACCGTTCTAAGATATACACAGCATCCGTAGCCTATTTTACTTGAGGCATCGGCAAAACCGATCAATTGAACAGCCTTAGAACCTAATGGAATTGGTATATTTCTATTAATATGAATCGGTTCCATTGCCTTGAGACCGTCAATAAAAAACAACCATTCTTCTTTAACATGATCGGAGGGAGAAGCATCCCAACTAATACCTTCAGCCCACAGTTTCTGCATAATAATCTTAGCCTTTACTATAATTGGACACACAAATCCAAGTGGATCATAAAACTTAGCAATACAGCTTAAAATTGACTTTTTTGTTACCGATTTTATATCAATAGTTTCTGGGCATGTGATATTAAACCAATCATTCTTTACATCTAGATTTAAACCTAATACTTTCATGGTATAATTATCCTTTTGCAACTCTAGCTCGTCAAAATGTTGTTTACTAATTGGAACATCAGACAATATTTCTGGATCATTAGTTGACCATTTATGTGTTTCAAAACTTCCTTTTTGTAGCAAAGACTGTAATTGTTGCTTAGCTTCTTTTATTTCACTAAGATCTGATGACGAATAGAGGATATCATCGACGTAAGTACAGTTTCGCAATATAAATGAAGCTATAGGAAATTCTTGACCAAATAGTTCAGTAAGTTCGAGTAAACAACGAGTTGATAAATAACTTGAACTTTTCATACCGTACGTAACAGTATTTAAACGTATACATTTTATTGCCTCATCAGGATTATTTCGCCAAAGAATATTTTGAAGAGCCCTGTGTTTGGGATTCACCAGAATATTCCTAAACATACGCCTTATATCCGTGGAAAACGTATATTTACCAATTCGGAACAATAAAATTACATCAAAAAGCTCTTTCTGGACTGAAGGCCCATTCAGTAATAAATCGTTTAATGAAACCTTTTTATCCGTCTTCATTGAGGCATCAAAAACGACTCTTGTGCGAGTAGTTTTACTCGATTCATTAATGACCGCATGATGCGGTAAAAAATATACAGCATCTTTGTCAAAATCATAGAAATCAAAATTAATAAAATCGCCATGACCTAGCTCTACATATTCATGAATAAATTTATTATATTCTGACAATAGATTAATATTATTTTGTAAACGCCTTTCCAAACTTAAAAATCGATACCAAGCTAAAACAAAAGAATTGCCCAAATAATTATGAATTTCATTATCCTCGACTTTAAGAGGTAAATTCACCTGGAATCTATTATCAATCAATTCTACAGAATTCTGAAAGATAGTTTCAGCTAACTCTTGTTCACTTTGATTCTCAGAAAAGATTTGTGGTATACTCTCAGCTTCCCAAAATAATTTGATATTATCATTGATTTCAGGATCGCATTTAATACATAATAGTGATGTTACCTGTTTTGAAGCTTGCTGATATTCAAGCATTGAACCACCAATAATATATCCAAAACGTGTATTGATAATGCAGGGCGTATTGTCTCTCTTTGTATTGTACTCAATATAGATACATGGATTTAATATATAAAAGGCCAAAGTTAATTAACAATACAATTTTTTATTCTCCATTTTTATGACAATTTTATTTATTATTTATTTGAAATTAAAAAAAATATAATAAAAAGTTTTTATGCCAGTATTAATTTTTGTTGGAGTTTCCAACATGCTCGCCACACCAGCGGTTTATTAGTGGATAAA